TGCTTAGTGATCCACAGGAGCAGGAGGGCACCATCCCCACCAACCCCAGGGGCACCACCAGCACCAGAGGCACCACCTGGGAGAAGACCTGCTGATGGCAAAGGGTCACGGCTGTACGGGGCACCCAGGGCCTCCTCACCTCTTCAAGGGGCTGTGTCTCCCGGCCTGAGTCCCTTCTTCGGAGGTATGGCTCTGGCACCTGCAGCAAATCCTGGCTTTTCCCGAACAGGAGCAGGGAAAGGAGCTCGGCAGGCACACGCTCGCCTGACGGCATCCTCCACGACTGCATGTGTTGATGGGTCCCCGTGCAGGTTTTAGTCAGGGCAGGGTGAACTTTCTGCCCCGTAGCTGGTATGAGACCGTGTTTTGGGTTTGCCCTGAGAAGAGCGCTGATAACACGGGTGTGTTTTGGTTGGTGCTGGGGAGTGCTTGCACCAATCCAAGGGCTTTTCCAGCTTCTGGTACTGCCCCTGTGTTCCCAACTTTCCCACAACAAGCAATGGGGGGACACATTTCAGACAGCTAACCCACGCTGACCGAAGGGGTGCTGCATCCCATGGAACACTGTGCTCAGTACATAAGCCGTGAGCAGAATGGGGGGGCAATAGCTCATTTGTTAGCCAGCTCGTGAGGTTGTTTGCTAGCTCACTTGTTTGTTAGCTAGCTTGTTTGTTAGCTCTTTTGCTCATTATTTGTTAGCCAGCTCGTGAGGTTGTTTGCTAGCTCACTTGTTTGCTAGCTAGCTTGTTCGTTAGCTCTTTCACTCGTTTGTGCATTAGTTAGATAGCGGGTTGGTGGGTCAGTTGGCTCTGGTCGTGGTGTTTCTCATCAGGCTCACTCAGACTCTGCTGCAATCACTCTTGGGCTGTGGCTCTTGGACTCTCTTGCTCAGACTCTGCTACTTGTGACCTGGCTGTGTATTGGTCAGTGGGGGGTAACCAACAGTATAATTTTTTAATTTTCATTACATATTATTAGTAGTATTGTTAACATTATTAGTATCACTATAATATCCATTTATATTCAATTATTAAGTAGTTCTTATCTCAATCTACGAGCTTCTTGGTCTTTTCCTCCGATTCTCCTCCTCCACTGGAGGAGGGGGGAAGCGAGTGAGCGGCTGTGTGGTACTTTATTGCTAGCCGAGGTGAAACCACTAAAATCATTTGGACCGCAAAGCTCTATTCCTAAGTGCTCCTTTAAGGCTACAGATAGAGTAAGTAGGATTGCCAGACAGTTGTCTAAGAGTAGGGCACTTGGGTGCCAATAGCATTAAAAACACTCACGCACTACATGGGCACTCAATTTATTAGGTGTAATCCTGTTCCACTTGTCTTGTCACAGTACAGACTAAGCTCGTCAAATGCTTTTTCTCTTTAAAAAGAAGACCTTCTTAGCTTAACTTGGATTTTAGTGTTTATTTTCCGGATTCAGTAATAAATCACAAATGATAGACATTACAGTTCGGTGTAGAAAAAGCAGTTTTCTTCCCCACCAAAGCCATCAGCCACTTTTCCATTAGTAGCCAAAAAAAGGCATCCATCGTCTTCTGAGATTTCAATATCTACTGTTCCATTTCAGAGTTGTCCTCTCAAAAATGAGAGATGATCCTCACAATCTTACTCACTCTCTCCATCATACATCAGCATACATGCCATTGATCAAGTAATCCAGCCTGGTATAATGTCTCTTCTGAAGAGATTCATGTATTTTCTTCCCTGTCAGTGCAATAACTAGCAACAAGAATATCACCCCAAAAAACAAAGCTGCTACAAGGCTGCTTTTTTCTACCAGTTGAGCAACACCTTCCCCTTTCAGAACACTCTCTGGCAGGTAGCTTTCTGAATCAGAGGGGTTATAACCCTGAGGATTATTTTGGGAAGCCATGGGGGAATTGCTAGTAGAAAGAGTGAAACCCGAAAAAGAGACGAGGGTGACATGGCTGGTATCGTTGGAAGTGACAACCGTTGGCTCAGGAGGGATGGCTGGAGTTCTTAGCCCTGCTGGAGCAGTAGCAGATACAGAACTGCTGGTCACCTTGTTCCTTGTAGACGTAGAAGCAGAAGTTGTGGAACTGGAAAGAGGAACATGAGCAACAGTGATGCTGGCAGCAGGGATACCAGGTCTAGCTCTAGCAGTAGCAGTAGGAGAAAAGGTAGCTGTGGTGGTGGTAGTGGTGACAGTAGTAGGTTTAGCACCACCAGGATACAGAGACGTCGTACGAGATTCCAGTGCGGTGGTACTTGTAGGCATGGGAGTAAAAGTAGAAGTAGTACTGCTGCGTTCAGGAACACTGGACTGAGTGGTGGGGAACAAAGCAGAGGGGTTTCCAATTGGAACAGCAGAAGACATATTTGGTGGCAGGTTAATTATTTTCTGCCTTGGTATGGGGTCTAAACTCTCAGGATGTTTTACGCTTTGAGATTCAGGAAAAACTGTACGAAATTCAGCATTGTCTAAATGCTTGGCCATGTGGTTCTGGAGTTCAGATGCCTGATGCACGACAGATTGTTGCAAAGCAGCGGTACGATTCCAGTGGCTGATCTGACTGGGAGAAATAAAGCCTTCAGCATCTGAAAACAAAGTATTTCCATTTGAAGAAAAGTCCTCATTTTTGAAAGATGTATCCTTCTGGCCATGGGTCTCTGGAAACAGAAAGGAAATACAAGTATTTAATTATTAAATCTATTTTGGACTACCACAGGCTTACTCTAACGATATGTATTTCTTAGTAAAGAGAGATATAAGGAGGCTCCAGAAAGTAATGACTAGTGAAACTGAGGCATCAAGATCTTCCTTTCTTTAAAATAGGCAGTGACCTTTAAATCCTGCCTGTGTAACAAGCCTCAAGCCTGGGCACGCCAGATCCTGACTGCAGCTTCTTACAGAACTCACCTGGGCAGAGCGATCACCCCAATCTGACTGTTTTATACCCACACTGCATGCACGTGAGCCTTTATTTAGAGGTAGAAAACAGAGTGAGTAGGCCCCTTGCCTTCAAACCGTTCTCAGCCTCTGTCAGCTACGAAGTAGGTATTATCAACCTCACTTTTATCTGTCAGATGTACACATTCCCACCTAGCCAAGATGATTATATGCTCCCCTTCTTGTAATATCCAAGCACGCTGTGATTGCTTGACACAATTCAGTTGGCATACAAAAACTCCCTTATGATGCAAGCTGGCAATAATATCCCCATTTTATAGGCCACTTCATACCCATACTGATTTGTAGGAAAGACCTCAGCTCCTGCTGCCATGCTAGAAGAAAAACACTGCTCCTTCAAGGTACTTGCAGTGAAGGCCTCCACAAGAAGCAGGCCTCACGTTATAATTTCTCCAGAGGTCGATAGGCATTCTTTGCAAAATAGGTGGGTGAATGGCATTTAATAGAATTTGAAAGCAGGGTGACAGCGTTATGTGACAGAAATTCTACACAAGCAATAATCCTAGCAGCTGCCTGATTCTCCACAGGTATTATAGAGAGAATTTGGGTGAGCATGAGTTCTTGGAAAGACTGGCTAATTGTTAAAATTTGGATTTTTTAAATATATAAAAATTTAATAGTTACATTTATAATTACGATATACATATTATCATTCAGCTGCCACACAGAACATCTAAAAGGGAACATGCCTTCAAGTCATTCTGACTCTCATTCATCTCTTTTTGAAAGAAACAAAGAAGTTTCTTAACTGCACGGGAACGGAAATAACAGAAAGTCCATGACATTTTCATCGTCACTTTTTTCTCAAGTTGGAACTCTTATCCAGAGGGGTGGATTTACTTCAGTTTCATTATACATACAAGGAAGCTTAGTTGACTGCTGTCTTAATATGTATTTTCGAGCCTTAAGACTCCACAAAAATATGCAAAAAACCCCACCAAAAACGACATACGAAAAACCCTGGCAATGCTTTAAATAAGAACGCAGCAACTACTTCCCTTGAACCACAGACACCAATTTTAATCCTAACTTTCCAGTCAGAGACCAGCTTGTTAGCAAAGTAAGAGCCACCCGCAAGGTCTGACTTGGAGAAAAGCCACACTCTGGTTTTAGAGAATGGCTTTAAATAACAAAATGTTTGGTTAATACAGAATCAGACACTGTCTGGCCAAAGATCCTCAAACTCTCAGCTGCTCCTGCAGCACCGGGCACATCTCCAGGCCAGTGAGGAAATGGCCTGTCACCACCACGGAGTCAGTCCCCAGCCCGCTTTTCCCCTGTTCCCGATGCGGTCCCGTGGACGTTTCCCCTGTACGTTTGAACAAACAGCGGATGTAGTGTGACAGCTACAGAGTACTTGCAGCACGCTATGTCATCTTCAGTTCGCTCACCAGGGCAACAGCTAGAAAAGCACGGAGCACCCACGCGGTGTTCAGAGGACAGGTGGAGGGAGCACATGGATATGGGAGTTAACTATGACCGCCTCTCGGCAGCGCTCACGTCCATTAACTGCCTGCACTAACTCACCCTACTTCAAATTTTCAGCATCAAACCTCGACTAAATAGTATTCTTTGTCTCCATTTTAGACTCCAAGCTCCCAAAGGCAATTGCCCAAAACTGTCATGTGCAAGCTATGGCTGGGGTACTAGGATAGGTACTAGATAAGATTTGTTGGTTAAAAAACAGAACAGGGGCGCTACACAAGTCAACCTGTAAGGAGAGATAAACAACTCAAAGTGGTGCTACCGGTATTTCAAACCCACTAAGCTGCATTACAAACCAAACTTCAGGTTGACGCTCTTAAAAAGCAAACTAAACACCTCCTGAGCATACTCTGCCAGACATTGGTCTTGCCTGGGTATCTCAGTGGGGTGGAAAAGGCAAACACCACACAAGTACCCAAAGAGCAGGAATCAGAAATATTATCACTGTTTCAGCAATAATTCCTTGTAACTGAGCCCGGGAAACGTTTTACTTCCCAAGCCACAGGTTGTTTCCATTAGTTAGCAGCCACAGGAAGAGTTAACAGGAGAAAAAAGACAAAGTTTCATTTCTAACCCAGCATCAGTATTTTAAATTGCTTTAGTAGCATTAAAGTATCCTTCTCCCTTTCAGTCTGGCTTTCAGTGTAACCACATGCAGATTCTCATGCGAAAAAATGAAGTTTGAAATGTTTGACAGTCCCAACACTGCTCAGGTGCCACCTCTGAAAGCTTATGAGGAACATCAGGTAAACAAGATAGCATAATCTTCCCATAATTCAGTGTTCACAGACGTGTGGTGGGTTGACCCTGGCTGGAGGCCAGATGCCCACCAAAGCTGTTCTGTCACTGCCCTCCTCAGCCGGGCAGGGGAGAGAAAGTACAACAAAAGGCTCGTGGGTTGAGGTAAGGGCAGGGATTTGCAATTACTGTCAGGGGCAAAACAGACTCAGCTTGGGGAAAATGAATCTAATTCATTGCCAATCACATCAGAGTAAAAGGGAACAAAAACCAAATCTTAAAACACCTTCCTCACACCCCTTTCTTCTTCCCAGGCTCAACTTCACTCCTGCTTTTCTCTTCCGCCGCCCCCCCCCAGCAGCACAGGAGGATGAGGAATGGGGGTTTGCAGTCAGTCCATCACATGCTGTCTCTGCTGCTCCTTCCTCCTCGGAGCAGGGTAGGACTTCTCACACCCTGCCCCTGCTCCAGCGTGGGGTCCCTCCCACGGGAGACAGTCCTCCACCAACTTCTCCCACATGAGCCCTTCCCAGGGGCTGCAGTTCTTCACCAACTGCTCCGGTGTGGGTCCCTTCCGTGGGTGCACTCCTTCAGGAGCAGCCTGCTCCAGCACCAGCTTCCCAGGGACTCAGGGGCTCCTTCAGACATCTCCCTGCTCTGGTGTGGGGTCCTCCCCGGGCTGCAGGGGGGTCTCTGCCCCCCGTGACCCTCCATGGGGGCAGGGCACAGCCTGCCCTCTCACCACGGGCTGACGGGGAACCTCTGCTCCGATGCCTGGAGCACCTACTCCCCCTTTTCCACTGACCTTGGTGTCTGCAGAGCTGTTCCTCTTGCATCTTGCTCACTGTCTGTCTGTCTGCAAAGATCTACCCTCTTCTGGGGTTTATTTTTTCCCTTCTCAAACATGTTACCACAGGGGCATTCTGACTGCGATTGGCTCGGCCTTGGACAGCAGCGGGTCCGTCTTGCAGCCGCCTGACATTGGCTATATCAGACACAGGGGAGGCTTCTAGCAGCTTCTCACAGAAGCCACCCTGTAGCCCCCACCCTCCCAACCAAAACTTTGCCACACAGACCCAAGAAGCAAACAAGAAGGAAATAAATTCAAACCATAAAATATAGATGGTACATGCCATCAAGTTGATAACTGAGCGTTAACACTATGTGCAGGACGAAAGCAGAAGCACAACTACATTTCTTGTTCCTTTGTTTGCACCCCCTATATTCTTCTCGAGGAAAAAGAGCTGGAGAAAAGAGCAGTCCTAACGGTAACTTTACAGGCATGCAATTCACTTGTTGCACACTGCTCTTGCCCAATTCCTGGGTGATTGTGCTTGCATAAAAGTATTTGGTAACACTATGTGAATAATCTTCCTACTTATCCTGCTGTTGCTTCTTCCCATAGTTTCTCTTGGAAAAGTCCTCTTTTTCAGCGTAAGTTCAGTCTCTGGAAATACGAATTTTCTGCTCTCTCAAGCAGCCACACTGAAACCACCTTATGAACTCTTGGCAGAGGGACAGCCTAATTATGAGTTTCTTACGTGAGCCATTCAAACAGGTCTGGTGCAAGTCAACAAGTAAGTCTTGCTATTAAAAACCCCACAGTGTAAGACAGAGAGCGAGAAATTTCTGAGTCTGCAGCCCACAGGCTGTAAAGCTTTGAGCTAAGTCCTTCTGCATCTGCACTTCAGGTTCCCTAACTGAAAGCAAAAAATAACGATTACTATTGCCAGTTACTGAGTAACATCACAACAGTGCTCCAAGGCTTGTTTCTGCTGGTGCATGGGGTATTCACCAGTGTAGCACGGATCCTTTGCATACACAGACGACTACAGGGGCATTGTACTTCCGTTGCTTTCAGCGATACTCTTCAGTGTTACGTACCGGAAATTTTCCTTCTTGAATACATCAAGACGGAAGCACCTTCTTTTTGTTTTAAGTAAGGAAAAATTATGAGAAGTTCTGAATCTAATGTGAAGGGATTTCATAAGGGTTGTGATGTTATTGCATCTGGGAAGCTGGGCCCAGGAGGAGCTCACCACACACTTGCCCATCCATCTCCCACAAAGTAAAAAAAAGCAGCATTTTCAAATTACAGTGCTTGGCTTTGAACATTTTACTAAAAATGCAACCCCCAAATGTTTTCTGGTCACTACTGAAAAGTCACAGGTATAAAAGTCATCTAGTGTGGGGATCAGTAGCTTTTACTATCATTTACCTCTAGTTATCTTGTAGCTGACAAATCCTGTTGCGGGTTTCATCGGACAAGCCTCTGTGCTAGGGCAGTGAAACAGGTAGCAGTTTGGATGTGCGCTTGCCCTTTGAGCATCAAAAATCATCAGATTACACTCCTGGTCTCCTGCAAAACATGATACATACATATTTCAGCAATAAGAACTTTTCTACCATCTTGATAATAAGATTTCATCTGTTAAATTATTTTTTCCTCATGTAAGAGGAAAACTACTGATATATAACATTCCAACAGGAAAAACAGCCCAGGACTGCAAAGGAATGGCCCAGGGCCAACATACGAAAGGTCACACCTTCCTCTTCCTGTACAGATGAACTGAGGGAAATAATGAGTCTAATCCCTCATCCTCCCCCCACCCATGCCACAGGAGCGCCACAATAGTTTCTCACTGATAGTAATCCTGATAAATCTGAAAACCTCCAGGATATACTCCTAGGGAAGGCAAGGATTTATACACTTTTCCCCAACACATCCCAGTTATCACTTGGGTTGTTGCTGCGTGTGGGGGGGTCACCTTTAACATTGTCCTTCCTACTTGCTGCTCTACCCCCTGCTGCTCCAAGAGCTGTGTGCAAACCAGCCTCAGAGAGGAGTAAGCACTCATTTTTGGCTAAAATTCAATGTGGCACAAAAGGCGAGTTACTTTACAGCACGTCTATTAAATACGCATCTTGGAGTGTGCGGTCTGAGAGGTTTTAAGATTCGAAACTACCAGTTTCTTTGATGCAACTGTTTTTTTAATACTATCATAGAGTCACAGGATGGTTTGGGTTGGAAGGGACCTTACAGCCCATCCAGTTCCAACCCCCCTGCCATGGGCAGGGACACCTTCCACTAGACCAGGTTGCTCCAAGCCTCATCCAGCCTGGCCTTGGACACTTCCAGGGATGGGGCATCCACAGCTTCTCTGGGCAACCTGTGCCAGTGCCTCCCCACGGCTAGCCGCAGCGTGAATCCGAGGATAAACTCTACGTTCCTGTCCCGAAGGGAGAGAACAGCAGGTGAACACCCCGCCAGCCCGAACTCCCCAAGCCCTTTCCCAAGTGCCCGCAGGAGGAAGCGGAGGGCCGGGGGAGCGGTTACCTGAGAGCCTTCCCGCCGAACAGCAGCCGCGGACGCAAGCCCCAGGGCCGGGGACGCGCACCGGCTCCGCGCCCCGGATGCCCCTGGACAGCGACAAGTTTATATCGATGATGGCGTTTTCCATTTTCTCCGCCGAGCACTCTTGACTGAGGGATGGCCCGGCCATCACGCCGGTGATCACCAGCAAGCAGACCGGCCACCGGCCGCCACCGGGAGACATGGCCACGCGGGTGGGGTCTTCGCAGGGCT